TTGAAGTAACTTCTCTCAAACATATAAAAATATTAGGCATAAAAGCAACAAATTTTAAAAAACTGAAAGAAAATATAATTGACTTTTTGAGAGCTTTGGTAATTGGTGATTTTTTAAGCTTAGAAAACCTGGATTAAGAAAGACACATATGTACTCCTCACATTATTTCAGCTCATTTCCAGTGCCTTTGGATAGATATTGTTAATAGATGAAGGCACTCTTCTTTATTAAAATGGTACTTCGCTTTAGAATCCTTCTTAATCACGTATTCATACAACCAGTAAGAAATTATGTGCTGAGGTAGGTGAATTAAAAATGAGTTGTGTATCTTTGAAATAAAAGAAAAGGTAACCAAGTTTGATTTTAAGACGCCATTTCTTAATTTTTTAGGCCTTTCTTGCCTTCCATTTGAGTGATTTTTTTCTTCCCCCTTCCCCTTTTTTTTCTTCCTTCCCTCCCTCCCTCCTTCCTTACTTCCCTCTTTCCTTCCTTCCTTCTTTCCCTCATGGGTCCTTATGAATATTGGTGCCTTGGATGTTTCATGAATGTTTGGTGCTTACTCATTCCTTCCATACCTTCTTGTTTATGCACTCAGTACACACACACTCTATTTACCTTGTATCTAACGTATCTATGTATCTCTTAATTCTTTCTTTTTTACATTTTCTAGTACCTGAATTGAATATTCTTAAATAGTATAGCAAATACACATGACAGGTGATTACTCTGTAATCATGTAAACAGGAAATTTTTAACATGTATACCTCATTTTATAATTTCCAAAATTAATAATAACTATAGCCTCCTCTCAAAAAATGGAATTTACAAACAGAATATGTTCAAACGTGACTTCCTCTTCTTTCATGTTATAGCATCTTAATTTTCTTGGTTATAATCCATTATTTTTATGTGAATACTTAGTTTCTCCAGAATTTTATTTAGTTTCCTTGTTCAATATTTCTTCCTACATCTTGCTTCTTCCTTTTGGATTTGATTTCCTTCTTATTGAAGTACACCTGTCAGTAGTTCCTTCAGCCTAAGTCTGTGAATGGTAAACTCTATTGGTCTTTATCTGACAACTTTCTCATTCTTACTTCAACAGTTTAGTTAAGAATAGAATTTCCCACAGCCCTTAAAAATTTTTATTTTAACCTTTCTTTTTACCAGTGGAATTTCTATTGCCAATTTTATTTTTGTTTCCTCATAGGTAGGCTGTTGTTGTTGTTATTGTTTGAGACAGGGTCTTACAGTCACTCAGGCTGGAGTGCAGTGACATGATCACAGCTCACTGTAGCTTTGACTTCCCAGGCTCAAGTGATCCTCCCATTCAGCCTCTTAAGTAACTGGGGTGACAGACATGGGCCGCCAAACCCAGCTAATTTTTTAATTATTAATTTTGGAGACACTATGTTGCTCAGGCTGGTCTTAAAATCCTGGGCTCAAGTCATACTCCTGCCTCAGACTCCCAAAGTATCGGATTACAGGCATGAGGTACTATGCCCAGTTTACAGGTATGTTTTCTTTCTTGCTTTTCTCTTAGGAATTGTTTTTCTTGTTTTGGTGCTCTTTAACTGGAATGTTCTGACATTGATTTATTTTAAAACAGGTATCTTGCTAAAGACTTACTGCATTCTGGTTCATGTCTATCTTTATATCTCACACATTCTCTGCTGCCTTCTCTTTGAATCATGCCTCCCCTCCATTTTCTTTATTTTCTTTCTTTTTAGGATGTCTGTTTCTTACCAGTCAGGCATGGTGGCCCATGCCCACAATCCCAGCACTTTGGGAGGTTGAGGCGGGCAGATCATGAGGTCATGAGTTCGAGACCAGCCTAGCCAACATGATAAAATCCTGTCTCTACTAAAAATACAAAATTCTTTAGCCAGGCATAGTGGTGGGTAGCTGTAATCCTAGCTACTCAGGAGACTGAGGCAGAAGAATCACTTGAAAAGGGAAGATGGAGATTGCAGTGAGCTGAGATCAGGCCACCACATTCCAGCCTGGGTGAAAGAGCGAAACTGCATCTCAAAAAGAACTTTTATTAAATATGTGTTTAGTCTTGTTATTACATTCTTAAGAATATGACTTTACTTTTATACTCTCCATTTTAAAATCCTCTGTATAATTTCCTCAGATTTATTTTCCAGTTTAAAAATTATCTCTTTCACTGTATCTAGTCCATCTATTTAACCCATCTTGTGAGCTTTTTATTTTCAATAGAAATAAACTCTATGACAGTAGAAAATTTATATATCTTATTCACTATTATCTTTAGTACCCAGAACAGTACTAGAAGTCTGCAGATGTTCAATAAGTATCAAAATTATTAATACATCAACAAATTCCTATCTTTTCTCAAATATTTTTATTTTTTACCTTATCTTGCTTTTTCATTTGATTTTTATTTTTCTTTATGTTTCTAATCATTTTATGGATATCTCTTTGATAGTCACATCCAGGTTTTTGTTTTTTTAATTAAAAAAAATTTTTTTTTGGTAGAGGCAGGGTCTCACTATGTTGCCCAGGCTGGTCTCAACTCTAGGCCTCAAGTGATCCTTCTGCCTTGGCCCCCATGAAGTGTTGGAATTACAGGTGTGAGTCACTGCCCCCAGTTGTCAAGTTGTTTTATTAACTCAAGTTGTTTGGGCACAGGTTTTTCTATTTGTTGTGTCATCTCATCTGCCTTGTGGTAGATTGCTTCTTTGTGTGGTGTGCAAATTTTATTGAGCATGCGCCTTTACTGAAGGCTGTATATTCTGTGGGATTCTTTTGTTTCCTGAGTTGTGTAGATGTCCACATCAAGTATTTTTATATTTGCTTCTATAGGGCCTGGCTGTTTCTCTGTTTTTAAGCTTAGGTTTATCTTTTTTTTCTTTTTTAAAGAAATTGAGATGGGGTTTCACCATGTTGGCCAGGCTGATCTCGAACTCCTGACCTCAAGTGATCCACCTGCCTTGGCCTCCCAAAGTGCTGGGATTACAGGCGTGAGCCACCGCGCCTGGCCAGGATTACCTTTTCAAACAATAATGTAAAATTGGATTTTTATTGGCAGAGGCTTTCAATATTCACAGGAACCTTTCAATATTCACAGGCTTTCAATATTACTATCACCTCTGCTCATCCTAGACTACTGAGATAAGCGTCTACAGCTTCAAAAAGTGAAAATCTATTTAGGCTTCTAGTTTATGCAGGAATGTTAGTTCCAGATCCTCAAAAGTAGCTTTAGGACCACATCTTTTAGTCCAAAATGGGGTTAAAACCTCAGCTCCTGGCCCTTATTACTGTGACTTTGAATTTCTTCTTCAATTCTGGTATCTGAAGCCTTTGCTGTCTCTGTTTTAAACTCAGCTTTATATTTTAAAGTGCTGGCCGGGTGTGGTGGCTCACGCCTGTAATCCAAGCACTTTGGAGGCCAAGACGGGCGGATCACCTAAGGTCGGGAGTTCAAGACCAGCCTGACCAACATGGTGAAACCCTGTCTTAAGAAAAAAAAAAAAAAAAAAATTTTAAAGTGCTTATATTTTAAATAATGCTCTATGCATTATTTCCTTTTTTTTTTTTTTTTCTTTTTTGTTTGAGACGGAGTCTCGCTCTGTCACCAGGCTGGAGTGCAGTGGCATGATCTCGGTTTACTGCAACTTCCACCTTCCTGGTTCAAGCGATCCTCCTGCCTCAGCCTCCTGAGTAGCTGGGACTAAAGGCATGTGCCACTATGCCCAGCTAATTTTTTATATTTTTAGTGGAGACAGGGTTTCACCATTTTGGCCGGGATGGTCTCGATAAAGTGCTGGGATTACAGGTGTGAGCCACTGCGCCCGACCCATTATTTCTATATATTTGGGGAAGGCAGGAGTCTTATGTCATGGGAAAAAAGGGAAAATGGGAAAAAGATGATTGGATTCCACAGGCCTTGCTAATGAATTTGATCCAACTTACACATGAGACTATCATTAAGAATCACCATATCATTTTTTTACTCTTAGAGTTTTTTGCAATAGTCTTATGGATATTAGCATTAAACTCAATTTAATAAATAATAATGTACTAAATATTTCAGAATATATAGATTACTAAGATAGCCTCTGCTCTCAAGAGGCAAACATCGTATAGTACAGAGATTAAGAAATTTTCATAAATAATCACAATGCAGGAAGTCTAATTGCTATGGAGATACATATAGCTCTTTAGAATAATACATTCCAGCCGGGCGCGGTGGCTCAAGCCTGTAATCCCAGCACTGTGGGAGGCCGAGGCGGGTGGATCACGAGGTCAAGAGATAGAGAGCATCCTGGTCAACATGGTGAAACCCCATCTCTACTAAAAATACAAAAAATTAGCTGGGCATGGTGGCGTGTGCCTGTAATCCCAGCGACTCAGGAGGCTGGGGCAGGAGAATTGCCTGAACCCGGGAGGCGGAGGTTGCGGTGAGCTGAGATCGCGCCATTGCACTCCAGCCTGGGTAACAAGAGCGAAACTCCGTCTCAAATTCTAACAATTTAAAAAATTAATTGAATAATACATTCCATGTATTATCAAACAAATTACTAAAATTGTTAGAAGAGCGAAAAAGGAATCAGAAGAAGGTATTTTCAAGTAATAATAACAAGAAAAACTTCATGGTAGTGATACTAGATAAAATGAGCCTTCAAGAATGACTAGGATTTCTGAAAATAAAACCTAGGAGGAAGGGGTCGGAAGGGAGGTAGTGGCTTTTCCAAGCAGAAAGAAAAGCATTAGCTTACGCAAGGAGCTAGGAGGATGGAGGGCCTCCAATAAGGAAGAAGTAATCCAATTTTCCAGGTTAGGATGTTAGAAAAGCAGTACTATTAAAAAGTAAAAATAAAGAAATGTAAAAAAAAATGGGGTTTGGGGGTTGGTACAAGATGGGAAGAAACTAAAGCTAATTTAATTTAAAATTTCTTACTGTCATATTTATCTAAAGAGAAAAGATAATGTTGGGTTAATTTTTAGGGATAAATTTAAGAACCAGGATCACTTACATTTTGGGTTGGGCAAGCTTCTTCTACTCAATGACCTGATCCTCTGATTGGTTAGTTTTACAGTTTCCAGGAAGGTAAACTGAATCAGCATTTTGGTCTCTCAGGCATACAAGTACCATCTAGTGGCAAAGGAAGGAAACCACAAGAATGAAATTATATAGAAAACATTTGCTTGCCTATTTTGAATTTTATTTATATTATGATTAGCTAATAACAGAGGCCATGTTCTACCTGAATAGGGAAATAAAGTACCCTTAATAAAATATTGCTTGGTTATTGGATTAAGAAATTCGAGATCACATAGATGGATTATGAAAAGCTTATGAAATATGAAATATTTGAACAATTTACAAGAACTTAATATCAAATTATATTTTGGGAATAAAAATTAAAGAAGGATTTACTTGAGTTTAAAGATACAGAGAGAAAAAGAAAATCAATGTAAACAAGGGGCAGAAATACTGAAGGTACTATTCTTTTGGAATTTTCTCTACTTCCATTTTGCCTAACTCCTTCTTAGCCTTCAAATCTTTAGATATGACTTCCTCTAAACAACGTTCCTCGACACCCTAGGTCTGTAATATCCTTCTACGGACCACTATTCCCATGATGCTACTAACCACACTTCTTTATCACCTACTGTTTTATAGCCTCATTACAATCGATAATGCTAAACAGCTGATGCCATGTCTGTTTCATCCACTGTTCTTCCAAAGCCTTAGGATAGTACCTGACATATTATAGGTAACTCACAAATATTTACAGAATGAATGGACAGATTGATGAAGAAAGAGAATAACTGTGATAGAAATGTTCAAGGTACAAATATTGAAAGTTAGTATCAGTAAAGTTTAAATAAGAAAACAAAAAGTTTTCTGAAAGTTAATTAGTTGAAAACGCTTTTTTTTTCTTCATTGTACATTGATTCCCTACAGGACATTTATTTGTAATTTCTGGTAGTTTACAGTTTTCAGAGTACTTCTCTTTACCTCGGTGAATAAAAAATAGCTCACATATCATAGAGATCAAATAAAAAGCTACACATAAAGCATATAGAAGATTATGCAGCATATATTATATGCTCAGCAGTTGGATTTTATTATTTCCTATAGTTCATCTCATAAATTCCTTAAAGCAGCACAGAGTCAAAGAAGGAAGTTATTTTAGATTTCTGTTTTACAAATAGGAAACCAGTGATTATGGAAACTAACCATGAGTAATATATGAGCATGAAGTCACATCAGTTACTATGTTTCTAAATCCACAATATCTAAGTAATAGTTTACTGTCCTTTCTATGGCATCATGTTGCTTGCTTAGAGAGACAGGAGAGAAGTCCAGGCATGACAGCTCACGCCTGTAATCTCAGCATTTTGGGAGGCCGAGGTGGGCAGATCGCCTGAGGTCAGGAGTTCGAGACCAGCCTGACCAACGTGGAGAAACCCCATCTCTACTAAAAATACAAAATTAGCTGCGCATGGTGGCACATGCCTGTAATCCCAGCTACTCGGGAGGCTGAGGCAAGAGAATCGCTGGAACCCAGGAGGTGGAAGTTGCAGTAAGCCGAGATCGTGCCATTGTACTCCAGATTGGGCAACAAAAGCAAAACTGTCTCAA